TAAAAAATTTTTACTGTTCACAAACTTATAATTGTGTTCTCATGAGAACTCGGAGAACACTAATTTCGAACACTGGTGTCAATCACTAGAAATAGCATCAAGAGTCCCATTTGAATATTAGGTGTTTTATATACGTAAAAAAGCAGCTATAAAAATTTATTAAAATGAATAAATTCTTGCTAATTCTGAAATTTATAAGGCAAAATAGCCTAGAATATACATAAAAAGAAAAGTGAGCTAATGCTAAATATATATATATAAATAAGTAATATAGAACTTATGTAGACTATTTAGCGTAAGTTTTCTTATATGCATCACGTTCTCTTAAATTATCAATCCATCTCTTAACATTAGGCCTTTTATTAAATATGTCACCGTGTGATGTATCAGTGTAGAGAGTATGTGCACACGGAATATGGAAGAGATCAGCTAAAGAATATTCCCCAATTAAATAATCTTTTCCTACCAAAATCTTATCATAAATATCTAAAGTTTTTTCGAGTTCCTCAAGCGATTGCTTAACTACTGCTTCATCTGTAGTTCCACCTCTTTTCTTACTAAATATTTCTTGATATAGGACTTTTAAAAGTGGTGGATCATAATATGATGATTCGTAAGAGATGTACTGCTCGACTAAACTGGCTTTTTTAACGTCGTTAGGGATTAAGGCAGTTTTTGCGTCTTTCTGATATTTGGATACCAGGTAGCGACAAATCGCACGAGATTCATTAACTACGTGATCATCATCACAGAGGACAGGGACTTTTCCGCTATAATTAATGATTTAATTTTTTTTTTTTAATATATATATATAGTATATAAACATCCAAGATACGAGTAAATAATACTTACAAAGGGTGCTTATTCGCGATAAAATCCTCAGTTTTGATGGTTTGAATATCAGTAACGCCCTCGAGTTCATAAGGAAGACCCAATTCATTAAGAGTTAAAACAACTCTGGCAGTAGTTGGTGATTGAGCGAAACCAATAAGTTTGATGGCCATTGTTTTTTTTCTATACTAAATAAGATTGAATGGTTCGTTTAACTAAAGTGAGAAGGGAGAAATGAGCGCCTATTTAAGTGTTTTGATATTACTAGCTTACAGCACGTACGTACGTAAGTACGTGAATTATTTCTAAACTTTTCTATTCGATTAGTAATCATAAAAAGTGTATGTATGCCCATGCATAATGCGATAACTTTTTTAAAGCCGATTGTTAGACAAAAAAATTCATATGTATATACGTATCGGTACTAGAAAAACTACTTAATTGTGTGAAAGTTCCCGCTTTGACCGGTTCATAAGACGGGACTAAGTATTAACCGATGCCCAAGCCATGTAAATATTGGCGTTAAGTATGACTAGTCTAAGATAGAAATGATCTGAAGTAGCCATTTATAGAAGTTGTAAATACAAGTAACGCAACAAAATATTTGATCGTTACAGTTAATAAATGATATATGTCCGTACAGTACTGCAGTACGTACATATAGAAATTTTATTACGATGTTTAAGATTCTGCTCTTAACGGCTCATAAGACCGGTCCGAGAATTATCCAGTGCTTAATAATATTGCAGTATCGGTATAAATTATAAATGTTATTCCGGACTGGACGGTATAGAATTTATTTGTATGCGATATTAACAAAATTTATAACACTTTGGGAACGTCCATAATTTACGTTAAACCAGTATTGTTATAGGGATCTTAAAAGATAATACAAAAATAATACTATATCGATATGGAATTATCTTCAAAGTCTCTATTTTTATACAATACTGTACTGTTTTAACGTAAATTATGGATGCTCCCTTTATACTAAATACAGTATATTCTTTCCGTTATTCTCACGCCTTTTTTATTGTTATAGTTAAATAAAAAATTCCGGGGGGTGTGAACGTATGGACGTAAGTGCATACGACCACATGTATGTACAGTATGTAAATGCATAGAAGTGCATGGTAAAATTAGTTGCAATGTTAGGAGTAACCGATCCGAATCATAAATTCTGGGACAATTGAAAAATCTTGATTACCCGAATCAGGAATCAATAGCGATACTAGTGATGATAGTCGACCTCAAAGAATCGACTCTAATTAGTCATCAACTAAAGTCGACTAGTACTGTAGTAGTCTTATAGTCAATCATCCATATTATAAGTGCCGTACATCTATTTTTGAGCGAAAAAAAAGGGAAAGGATAAATACCAAAAAATACCAAAAATGGCAGTCTAAACCTATCTTGGAGCATAAATAAAAAGTGCCGGGAAGACAATTTGACATATATGGGATCTTTGCTAGGAAAATCATCCTCTGAGATTTTCCGATAAGACAAACTTAGACCAGAATATAGGTTCTTATATGTAAATCATCTTTTTACTTTATTGATTCTATAGTTTATTTTAATAAATATAGACTAAGTAAACGATTATTTACATGTAACTTAAGAATTTGTTCCGATCGGAAATCTCGCAGGTTAG